TCTTCATTAATAAGGTTTATATGAATGAAAACTTTAGAAGCTGATATTGTTAGAGGGAAGTTTTAGGAACAGCCTTAGCAGTTTTGCCTAGTTTTCAAATGACTGACTTTCCTAATCAGTCCAAAATAAGTTTATTCTGGGAACAAATTATCATAATTGTGCATTATGTGGGGTTTTTTTTAAGTAATGATGCAATAATTTTGAAACAAACTTTGGGAAAGCTGATGTTTGACTAAGGGTGAGGGTAACATTTGCAAACTCAGTTATTTTTTAAACTGAACTACAAGGTGCTTTATTTTATTTTAAAAGTTTTAGCTCATTATAAATCATGTGTTGTTTTCTCTCCCATCCGCTCCTCTACCTCTCCACCCTGCAGGAGATCTATCTATCCCCTCACCCCCTCAGCTAGTTCAAATCATTGCAATAATGGTATATATTTGTGTGTGTATGTCATCACACCAATGTTAGCTAAAAAGTTTTACATTTTATTAAATGTTTGGAACTCTGGTGGTGTTCTCCTTTTACTGTGTTCAGAGTTTAAAACAAATCAGGTTGAATGAATAAAATAGGGTAACCAGATGTCCCAATTTTAGGGGCAGTCCTGATATTTGGGGCTTTTTCTTATATAGGCTCCTATTACCCCCCACCCTCTGTCCCGATTTTTCACACTTGCTGTCTGGTCAGCCGAGAATAAAAATCCATTCAGAGGGATATTTTTTTTCTCTCTAAATGAGCTGGCATCATTTTACACTGCATCCTCACGGGGTTGTGTATTCCAGTCTCTCTGATACACGTCTCCTGGGTCAAACATCTGCTCAGCTATACCAGTGTAAATCCGGAGTGACTACTGAAATGAGTGGAGTCACTACGGATTTACACCAGTGTGTCTGCGACCACAACTTGTCCCGTGAACCTTATTAGGGTCTTCCCTCTTCCTAACACTCCTAAGACCTGTTCGCCAAAAGTTGGAGAGAAGATGTATTGCTCTTCACAACAACGTCCTAGTGACGTGTAATTAAGGAATGTGTTTGAAGTAGCCTGGAGAATAAAATACCTATTGTATGCTACTAACGTGGAAATACAGTAAAATGGGTTGTTTCTTTAAAAGAATAATTTTATTCCATGCTCCAATGCTAGAGTCAAACAGGCACAGGGCTTTGGTTATAATACATATTATTCTTTTTTTAATTAGGTGACCCTTATGCGGCCCTTACAATCCTAGAATTTAAGGATGAGCCTATTTCGAAAAGAATAAATCAAATACATATAAACTCCTTCTCTGGTCCATAATTACATGTTTACGATTGAGAAATAATCCTATAGTGCACAGGGCTTGGCATCCTTATAAAATGTAAATGAGAAAAGTTTCGGAGACCATTTTGAATTAATTCAGTGGGGAGAGAAGGTGTGTGTGTAGATGGTGGTGGGGAATCTCGATTTACTACTCCTGGGAGAAATTTCATGGTAGAAAAACTTTTGTCATTTCTATTTAAATCACAGAAGCAATTTATTAGAGACAGAGCTTCTAATAAATTGCTGGTATTGCTGTAATCAAAAAAGCGAGTTGATATACTGAACTCACAAAAATCGATGTATTTTGAATCCACTGATCTGTTATTTAATATCTTTAAAATGAGGACTATTATAAAAATGACTGACTTCTCAACAAGCATATTTTCATAGACTTATGCATGGTGATTGCTTTGTATGAAATCGTGTTTGGGTAATAATATTGAAAATCAATGTAGTGTTTACATTATTTCATATCTAACAGCTTGGTCTGCCCGTTACTGTACTCCTCTTTAGATGTATCTTTCAACCCATGCTGTGACTATGCTATAGTAACAAACAATCGCTTAGCAACACTATGCAACACAATTTGCTTGCGTTTCATTTGTTATTCCAATTTCACCCTGACACTATGGGACAGCAGATTGTTTGTTTAACGCATTATTACATTTGTAAGTTAGTGCAAAGTGGATGCGAAATGAGAAACTCTTAAATCAGGTTTTAGTAAGTGTTTGTGTGTGTGTGACATAAATAAATCAAGATTCTGCTTAAAGTTCACTAAAATGCATCTACAACTTCTATACAAAGCTTTAACGTTATTTGGAAAAAAATAACCAGAAATAAAAAACAACAACACTGGAAACTATAAAGAAGCTGTTAAAATGTTGTACTATGTCTATAGAAAGGAACAGAATGAGTGCTATTAGATTGTGATTCAGCAGAGTATTATAAATCTTAACCATAACGAGAAAAATATGGTTCTACAATCTTATTACGGCTACTTTGTGACTTAACGTAACACACTTGTCCTATGATGCAAAATCTTACCTTGAGGAAATAAACCTATGAATAATTGAAATAATTATTCAAGCAGATCAAAATGTATCCACCATAACTTAATTCTGGCCATAAAATGAACGACTACAGACTTTTTCATACTAACATAACAGTGAGCAGGAATTACTTTAAACTGAGAAAAAAATGAATATTTTATAGCTAATTATTTTAATTAAACTGACAGCGGCTAAGGCTAGTTAGGTAGCTAGGGCAACATAGTTCTGTGGCTCTGTTTATATTTTAGCTGGCCAGATCCGAACAGGGCTTGCAAAATTCTTCTGATTCTGCCTTAGGAATGTACCTCAGCCCTTCTAATGTACAAATATTGTCTTTATACTACGCACAACATCAAGGTGAAGTTCATCAGCCTCAGTCACTTGCTCTGGTATAAAAACCACCTGGGACCAAGTGGTAACCCCCTTTATTACACAAAACATCAGCCGAGAGGTCATAAAAAACATGCAGGACTCTCCCATTTAAGAAAACCCAAGATACTGGCCACTGCAGTGGTATTTTTGTTAATATAAACGGGTGGATAAGGAGGTCGCGCTCTCTCTCTCTCTCGTTGTATTCAAAACTAGACCGCTCCGTCTTGTTTGTCAGTTTCATAGCAATCCCACTATTGCTCCGTTTCTCTGTCCTTCGACTCCTAGAAGATCTATGAATGAGACGGAATGATACTCTGCATTTCAACAGAGCGCACTGCATGTAAACTGGAGTTTCAGATTGCGATTTAAGGAGTGTTAAGCAGTTCAGTAGAGGCACCAAGGACGAATACGTGAACAAGCAGCGAGATAGCGAAATTCTGCAGCATGCTGTTCTATTTGTAACATGACTGGCAGCGCCAATCTAGTCCAAGGGAATTACGGATTTTACCTCTGTGCAATAGTTTCACTTTACATTACATTTGGAAATCTGCATGAATTTCACATCTAAACGCCGTGTGTAAGAATTCACATCCAGGACTCCGGTCAAATATTTTGGTTGCAATTGTGCGTGTGTTTGTTTTTTAAACACCAGAAAAAATTAGTGATCTTCAAAGTAAGCAGAAGCTGAATGAAAGAAACATTCTAAATAATCATATTGTGATTTATTAATAAAAAGTGAGCACTAGATCTTCCCCCCCAAAACAAACGAACAAAACAACTCAAACATACAAGCCCTTTGCTGATATTAATAGCCTCCTGGTCTAGATCACTTTCATATCCAATTTGAAATTGTTGAATACTGAAGGGAAGGGATACAAGTAGGCTTCACCTAACATTAATGAGTACACTCTTTGTTGAGTAAAAATAATTTGTTCCTCGTAAACAGATCCTAATGGCTTGTTTTCATTTCATGCTTACAATTTCCTACCTTCTTTGATAGAGGGTTGATGGGGCAAATAGTCTAATCTTGTTCAGTTTACCTCCTGTGGATTCCTAGTGACAGTCGTGACAGACCAACTATTCTGCAAATCACAAGAGCCAGCTACCAGGAGAGACAAACGTCTTTAATAAACAGTTTAAGGGAATTAAATCGCGCCCTGTACATGTAATGGGCATGCAGAATTTAGTACTGTACAATCGCTGCTCCATAGACTGTGTTTTCTAGGATAGAAAATAAATGATTCTTTCTTGAAAAGGAAAAGCGCATCTTAATGAATGAAAAGCAAATCTGAATCCCTACCACTTAATGTGTTTTTAGATGACAGATTATTATTACTAAAATGTTCAGTTTCTGCACTGTTAAAGCCATTAATAGCTGCCTTGCTTGGTTTTTTTAAATGCTTAGAACAATTGTCCAAAGAAATAATCGAAGTAATTTTTTTAAAAGTTAATTTATTCTGTGTAAGGCGTTGTGCTTTTAGAAAACAAGGCACACTACGCATCCCCTTTACTCTGAGTCAAAGGAGCCAAGACCCAAACCCTATCCCAGAAACACCCATGCACAAAATATGGCGCAACTGTGTCGCAGTTTAATTATTTTTAAAGATTTTTTTTAAGTGTTTCCTAACCAAATCCAAGCATAAATAATGACTCTGAGCCGCAGACAGAGGAAATCACACCTAATAATGTGAACCAACACGAGGAGAGTAGGTGCATAATAGACAGGGCTAGAAGCTGCTAACCACTTCTCCACAATGGCATTAATCAGATTAACCTGGGCAATTAGCCGGTGCAGCGGAGAGATCAAGCCTAAATCTGGGGCCTTTTCACAAAAAAAAAA